GTACCCAAAAGAGAAGGATGTCTCTAAATCACAGAAGAATCTTGTCAGTGGAAAATACTTAAATCTCCATAACAAACCCAGCCATTTTAATTTTAGCTGCCTTTCCTATTAACTTCTCATGCCGACCTTTATTTAGCTGGAGATGGTATTTAAGGTGGTGGCTTGGGCCATCTCTGGGAGTTACTCAGTTTTTCTTGGAGATGGTAGAATTGGGCAAGAAACACTTCAAGTATCTGTGGAAATGTAGCGGAGAAACTATAAGTTCCCCTAAGAAGCGAGAGGTGAGCCCGAATGTCAAGTGCTTTCAGGAGGTTGACTTTGACTAACAAGGACTCCACCAAGAAATGTCTGCTTCAGAGACTCCGAGACTCTCGTAGAACTTTGAAATGATTGTTGTGGTATTATATTGGACTGTTTTAAAAATCTTTTACAGTTTCACAGTTATGCAGAATTCTTGTGAAGGAATAAGAACTATGTTCCCAGTTGTTTTGTGGAAAGGCTATTCACTGGGTTATAGGTTGGTGTCAAAGATGAAGGCTTTATGGGAACAATTTTTTATCTTGTTTCTGCTGTCCAGAAGGTTTAGGAACTAAGATCCCACATGCCTCAGGACCCATCAAGTGCAACTCCTGAGCTCACTTGGTGCACCTACTGCAGCCTGCATGCTCTAGAGCCCCTGCTCTGGAACAAGAGAGGCCAGTGAAACCAGGAGCAAGGCTGCCAAAACTAGAGAGGAGCCCTCACTCACCGCAACGAGAGGAGGCCCACACAGCAAGGAGGAGCCGTGTGTGTCAACGAAGACCCAGCAGAGTCAAAAATAAATAAGCAAGCAAGTAAATAAGATTTTAAAAAAGAGCAGACAGAGCAGTGGAAGCTACGAGCCAGGACTGGCATTTGTTGTTCAGTCGCTCAGTCGTGTCGGTGTCTGCTACCCCATGGACTGCAGCACGCCAGGCTTCCCTGTCCTTCACCACTGGCATTACTCTTTAAATAATAATAATAATAATTTTGACTGCACTGGGTCTTCACTGCTGAGCAAGGACTTTTCTCTAGTTACAGTGCGCGGGCCTCTCACAGCAGTGGCTTCTCTGGTTGCGGAGCACAGGCTCTAGGTGTGATGGCTTCAGTAGTAATCACCACGTGTGGCTCAGTAGTTGTGGAGCACAGGCTTAGTTGCTCCATGGCATGTGGGATCTTCCCTGACCAGAGATGGAGCCTGTGTCCCCTGCATTTGCAGCCAGATTCTTAACCACTGGACCACCAGGGAAGTCCACAGCATTATTCCTTAATGAGGCTGTTTGCTCAACTGGGTTATTAAATACTGTCTCTCAGCAGAAAAAATCCAATCAGATGGTAATGAGGTGCCTTTATTTTGTACTACTTTTTGGTGAATTTGTTGCATCTATCAGTATTCTCTTTAGCGGGTGAGGTTACTCTTATTTCTGTTGTAATTAGAATGGTATCAGGGTCAAAAGGAGAGCTGAGTAACAGGCAACAATGGTTCCCAATCATAAGTTTTAGGACATTTTGGGATGACACATGTTAGTGCTGGGCTTCTGGTGGAGAACCCCAGGTTTGCAGGCTGCAGCACTGCATTGCCCTTGGCCATGCCTAGGCTGACATTCTTGTTTCTCTGTGTGAGCCTCCATATTTCTATCTCAGTGAAGTTTATACAAAGTCTGTTTTACAATGTACAATATGAAGGGCTCTTCCATAAACTCTTAGAGTCTCAAGGGGTGAATGATAGGGCTTGCTAGAAATGTAACAGTGAAATTTTGTGTTCTTGAGAACGGATCCTCTTATTCTGATCTGATCATCCTTGGTGCAATTCTTTAGCTTAACAGTATCTCTTCTCTGTAGTAGATGAAGCTTTCTATTACCTTGTGGAAGGTGAGGCAGTTGGTGTATCCTGTGAACGTGTGGGTGCAGAACAAGACAGGAGTGTCAGGGTTTAACGTTACATCCATTTGAGGATTGGGGACAACTTTCTCTATATATCCTCATCAGGCACTAGTTTGTTGAGCAGAAAATGCTTGTTAATTTTGTTTGTGTTTGTTTGGGATTTTCCTTCCCTTCCTCTTGCATATCCTTTCCTCGACTTCAGACAGACAGAAGACTGCTATCAAGGAAAGCCTTTCAGTTGTTTATTCTGTGTCAATAAGGAAGGATTGCTTAAAAGGAAAAGCTTGCTCCCAAGTCAAGTTCCTGAAAGATTTCTTTTTTTTTTTTTTCTTCCATTTATTTTTATTTGTTGGAGGCTAATTACTTTACATCATTGCAGTGGTTTTTGTCATACATTGAAATGAATTAGCCATGGGTTTACATGTATTCCCCATCCCGGTACCCCCTCCCACCTCCCTCTCCACCCGATCCCTCTGGGTCTTCCCAGTGCACCAGGCCCGAGCACTTGTCTCATGCACCCAACCTGGGCTGGTGATCTGTTTCACCCTAGTTAATATACATATTTCAATGCTGTTCTCTTGAAACATCCCACCCTCGCCTTCTCCCAGAGTCCACAAGTCTGTTCTATACATCTGAGTCTCTTTTTCTGTTTTGCAT